CCAAAATTGATTCTGTAAATCTCTAGTCATTTATAAGTATCATTTCTATTCTTCCTAATTATCACCTAATTATTTTATCTTTCCCAAAATTGATTCTGTAAATCTCTAGTCATTTATAAGTATCATTTCTATTCTTCCTAATTATCACCTAATTATTTTATCTTTCCCAAAATTGATTCTGTAAATCTCTAGTCATTTATAAGTATCATTTCTATTCTTCCTAATTATCACCTAATTATTTTATCTTTCCCAAAATTGATTCTGTAAATCTCTAGTCATTTATAAGTATCATTTCTATTCTTCCTAATTATCACCTAATTATTTTATCTTTCCCAAAATTGATTCTGTAAATCTCTAGTCATTTATAAGTATCATTTCTATTCTTCCTAATTATCACCTAATTATTTTATCTTTCCCAAAATTGATTCTGTAAATCTCTAGTCATTTATATTTTAAACCCATCTTTTTCAACAAAAATTATTTTTAAGACAAAAATAGTAAAAATATTTTTTTAAAAATAAATTATTTATTTAAAACCATTTTTGTATTTTTCATTCCATTAATTTTTTACATTTTCTTCTTTTTTTATACCCACAACATCCGTTTATTTGGATAAAAGAAGAGGGTATATGTAGATAAAAGCTTTTTTCTAAAGTAATGGTTGCCAACGAATTAAAATGCCAATCTGCGCAAAAATCTAAAGCAGAAAAGAAACCGAAAAAAACATGTTTAGAGGGATGGAAATGAGTGAAAAATTTTCTTGAGTAGAGGGGGAGCGCAAAAGAGTAACGGAAATAATTGATGTTATTCAGTATTAAAGTTCGATGGATTATGATAATAATTCGAAATTATATGGACGAAAAACCCTTTAACTGACCATAACTGAACCTTAATGATAAACTAATACTTGAACTAGTTTTATTGTGATTGATCTTTAGGAAAGATTTTCCGTCCTAGAAGTAAGTAGCCCAGACCAAGAAATAGCGATTAAAACATATAAAAAGATAAATAGAAAAATAGATTAAAATAGCGACCAAAAACCCCAAAACCCAGACCAAGAAATCCTATAAGTTCGAGGAATTTGTGGCACTGAGTAACTAATTTTTTTGATATGTATCTGATTATAAACAGGTGTCTATCATTGTCAAAATTATATTGATATGGCGAGATGATGCCTAGCAAATTAGTCTCCATGTGGTGACGTAAAATGCTTGAGCCTTCAAAAGCTAACAGCAGCAATTAATTGCCTTCTTAGGTATTTTTATATTTTCCTCTTGCGCTCCCCTTCTAAATTAAAAATAGTATTTATTTATCTTTGCTTTATTCCCTCAATATTTGCGTGTTTACATGTGAATAAAAATGAAGAAGATATCTTATTTATGCCCTTTAGAAGAATTATCTATTAGTACATATTCTTCCATTAATATTTTTAATATTTACGTTATTCTTATATAAAAAGGCCATTAAAACTTTTATTTTTAAACAATTTTAGAAATAAAGTATGAAAATAACTCTTTAAATTTTTATTTTAGAATTTTATTTTATTCCTCAAAAGGCTTCTTTTCCCCCTTTTAATTTTTTTTAAATTTTCGATCCAGTGACATTTAACTAATTAAATTAATAGCTAGCTAGCTTATATTTAAATCCTCTGTGTTTGTACTTCTTTGGAAGGATAAGACGATTATTTTTTTTCTAAATTTAATTAAATCAAAAAATAAATATTTAAATAAAAATATAAAAATTCATAACAGTTTTTAATTTTTATTAAAAATTTATTTAATATTTAACATTATCAACACCTAAATCTTCTCTCTCTCTTTTTCCTTCCTTTTTAATTTTTTAACTAAACAAAAATCAATTTAAAAAAATAAAAAAAACAATTTTAATGTCAAATAAATTTTAAAATGTTTTAATGACTGAATGAGGAAGTGGAACGAGAAAATCACGCACGCAATTTAATTAAAATAATTTTTTTTGAAATTATGTACTTGGGAGTAGTTTTGAGGGTAAAAGACTGTAAGGCGAAAATTTATAAAACAGCCTTCTTCGGACGTGAAATTTATCTAAAATATACTCCTCCCTGCGGTATCTAACTTATCCAAAAATTTCATAATTTCTGTTTTTTCTTTTAAAAAGTTCCGGTCAAAAATACCAAAATTATCTAAATGTAAAATCTCTTTTTGCGAATCTCACTTAATTTTTTGACCATAACTTTTCAAAAGCTTAACCAAAAATTCTGAAATTTAAAACAAAGTTAGTCAACGCTTTAAGCTATATTTATACAAAATTTCAAATTTTTATCTTTCCTCTTTTCCTTATTTTTCTGTCAGCGCCGAATCATCCCTTCCCTCTTCCCTAAAATTTAATCTTTATTTTTTCCTCAAAAAATTTTTAAAAAATTATTTTTAATGAATTAAACTATAAAATTAAACATCTTTAAAAATCTAAAAATCTTCGGAAATCTACTTAATTAATTTAATTTTTAATTTAAAAATTAAATTTTTTTTATTCCTTTCTCTTTTTCTCTCTTTTCATTTCTTCTTATTGCAGGTGTTAGTTGTTATAAAATCTAAAAATAATTTTTTTTAATTTTTTGCAATATTAATTTAAAAATAATTTAAAATTCTCTCATATTTTAAATATTTATTTTACAAAATTTTAGAAAAAATTCTAATTGTGAGAAAATAAAAAATTGTGTATTTATTTATATATTTAATAAATAATTAATTTGCTAAACATACTATATAATAAACATTTTTTAAAAACATTTTTTAAGTAAAAAAATTAATTTACGTATTTAATCTTATTTTTATGATATTTTTGAATCTAAAATTTAATGTAATTATTTAATTATTTTATTTTTAAAAATTAATATTTTTCGACCCAAAAAATTAAATAAATTTTCTTTTAAAAATTGGATTAAACAGAAATTTTTTTTTATTTTGAAAAGCTAAACACGTTAATAAATAAATTTTTTTGAATTTTTTATTAAATTTAAACATTTAATCTCTAAATTTATTTTTGAGTAACGTTTAATTCTACGTTTAAATTTGTGAATTGACAGTTACCGATAAATCCAATATCTATTGAAATTGGGGATAATGGGTCGTCTCCAGTAGTAAATTTGGATAAAAAAACAAAAAAATAATTTTAAAAGAGTAAAATAAATATTTAATTGGGTTCTTTTGTAAATCGGCTAAGTTTCCTTTCCAGTTTAGTAAATAAAGCAAGAATCGAAAAGATTGGTTGGGTGGTTAATTCGGATGGATTAAATAAAGTTGTAATTTTTATTAATTTTTAAATATTTTTTACACACATTTTACTTACATTTATAGTAGAGGTCGGCACGGGACAGGATCCCGTATGGGATTTTACGGGTCCTGTCCCGAAATCCCGTATTTTTAGCGACGAACGGGATTATCGGGATTTACGGGATTAATCCCGCGTGATCCCGTCCCGCAAAAATTTTTGAAAAAAGCCCCGTTACGGGATCCCGTGAATGCCATTTACCGACCTCTAACTATAGTGCATTAACATAAAATATACATCAGGGTTTCTACATATTTAAATTTAAAATTAATATTTTATTTAAACCTTTTAACGCCTTTAAATTATTTAGTAACTACAAAGGCTAAATATTTTCTTCATTTTTTTATTTATTTGCGTGTCCTTTCCCTCAATAATATTTTTATTTGTCATAATCGTCCCCCTTTTTAAAGCTTTTTAATGGACTTGGGAAGCATCTGTCCCCCTTTCTCTCTTTTATTTTTATTTTTTTCAACCGAATTAAATACCCCTAGGCATAAAAGTGCAAATATTGTTTTGTACTTTTAAAAATAAAAAACAAAAAAGGGAAGGGGGAGGGGGAGGGGGGAATGTCTGTTATTGAGGGAATTGAATGAAGTGAATTAATTTTTTTTATAAAAAGAGAGGGAAGGGATTGAAAATGTGGGGGGAACGGAAGTTGTTTGGAGAGCGGGAGAGGGAGGGGAGGGAAATTTATTTTTTTTATTTGTTTGTTTAAAAAATATTTTTTTGTAATTAACTTGTGCCTCCCTTCTCCGGAAACTATAAGGAAAAAAATAAAAAGAAATAATTTTGTTGAAGAACAAAAGAACAAAAAATTTGTACTTTAGAAATTTTTCTAGAAAATATTTTTTAGCTAAAGACAAAATTAGAAGGGCTCGTACAAAAATTGAGATTGAGACAAATATCTAACTTTGGGCTATCCGAATAGGGCAAATACTTTTCGAAAAATATGAGTGCCGCCAAACAGAGAGGAATAGGTCTGTGCCGAAACAGATTTTAAAGACGAAAAATTAAACTTTAGAAAAGGCGAAAATCTGCGAGAGGTGAAAAAGCAAAATAGGAGGAATTCTCTCTCCCTTTTGAAAACAGAAAGAACATTTAAATCCAAAAATTCTTTTCTCTTAATTATCTTCAATTTCTTCTTAAAATTTTAACTCAAAATAAAATTTATATTTTGGACATGTTTTATTTTTAAACGTCATTTATCATCTTTTTATTTAAATGTTTTATTCATTAAAATATTTAATTGTTGCATTCAATGAATATGAATATTTTTCTTTCTTTTTTGTTTTCAAAATTATGTAGAATATTCTTTTCATTAATACATTTTATTCATTATTATTCCTTCATTTACCCTCTTCCATTTTCCCTCTTTTTTTCTGTTGAAAAATAGAGTAGGTAGAGGAGTTTTTACCTCCATTTAATGACTTCATTTTTTCGATTTGCAAGGATTTTATGTAGAATGAATTGTGTGTCAAATAAACAACTATATTCTCGAGGGACGTCCTCTTAAAAGATCGCCACATTCTTTAAATAATCCTGCAATCCTGCGCGAGATCCCGAATAATATTTTTCGGATTATTCCTCTCGAGATTTAAACCCGCAAGCAGTAAAAAGACTGCCCTTTCCCGACTCTCATTTATTCCTCAACCCCCCAGGGTCTGGAATAAATGACAAATTGAATCGACAATTTTTTTTCCCTATTTTTCCCTTCAATTCTTTTTTTTATTTACCAGAACATTTAGTAAATGTCATATGTTTCCATTCAATTTATTTCCATCAATTTGTCATGTTTCCGTTAAATGTACTTTTCTATGGCCAAATAAATATTTTGGCCTTCCTTCAATTTTGAAAGGAAAGAAAAAAATTTTTTTTTGGTTCAAAAGTTTTCTATTTTCTACGTCATTTATTTTTTTTCTTTTTTTTTGTGATCTCTGAAATTAAGGAAAAAAAAGATTTGCGGACAAACATTTGCGGACTCCATTCTTTTTTGCCCTTTTCTCTCTAATCCCTCTCCTTTTTCTTTAGAAAAAATAATGTTAAATATTTAATTATATGGACGTTTTTCTGACTCTAATTAGTTATCCAAATAATTAATTATTTAAATAAAAATTTTCTTAATGTTTTTCCAAATTGAATAAAACCACGACATTAAAAAGTTAAATTTTCTTCTTGCCTTCAAAAATAATTTCATGGCTGTCTTTCAATTCAATTTACCGTTCATTATAAGGCATGATTTTTTAGTCTAAGGAGGGCATCTAAAAAATTAGGTTTGGACTGTTAAAAAAATTTTTTTTTAATCCGCAAAAATATTTTGTCCGCAAGTTCAGTCCGCAAGTTTAAATTATGTCCGCAAATATTTTTTTAGAATTTTTTAATGGTTGGTTCTCTAAATAAAATTAGAAAAAAAATAAAAGAAAACTAAAATTAATTTATTTAAAATAACTCTCTAATTATTGACATTTTATAGAAAAACAAATATACAAATTTATTTTTAAATATCAAGTCATGCGCAAACTCAAAAAAAAAAGATTTCTAAATTGATGACTAAAAAAAGTTTTGTAAAGCCTCTATTAAAAATATTTTTAAGTTTATTTTTTTTAAACTTTTTTTTTTGTAAATGTAAACAGATTAAAAAAAGTTTAAATATTTTTTAAGAATATTTAAATTCTCTCTAACTCCCCCCCCTTTTTTTTATATTTACATTAACACCTCTAAATATTATGTAAATTAACAAACTTTTTTAAACTTTTAAAACTTTTTTTAATCCTAAAATTAATAAAAAAAAAGTTTTCAGATTTAAATATTACCGTATTTCTTCTAATAGTGCGACCGGTCGGTTTATTTTTTAACCATCCTCTAGGGAGTCGGTTTATTAGAAGGGGTAGGTCTAATAGAGGGAGTCAGCACTATTAGAAGAAATGCGGTGTTTATTAAATAAAATCGAAACTCTTGTTGATAACGAGACCCCCCTCCCCCCCCCCCCCCCCCCACACTCCCTCCCTTCAGACTTCGCCTTCTTCCTAACGTCGAGAAAATTCGGTCTGTGATGTGTCCTTTTAGAAAGATTCCGTTTTAAACAGTTACAACTTCATTTACTTAATTTCCTCCTTAATTTAGTCATGGAGTTAGTAGTTTAGTAGGTGTTCAAAATTAAGAATCGCGTGGGTGTAAGCCAAAAACACAAATATGTATCTATTTATTTCTTTAAAATACCTAAAATTGTTTATAGAACCTTATAAAATTTAAATTTCCTCCTTAAAAGTTCAACAAACTTTTTCCTTTCCTGTCTTCCTATTCTGTCAAATTCAATTTTCTTTTAAATTACTCAAAAGATTGCTGTCCCCTTTAAATACTTGAAAAGTATTACAATTTTAAAGTGCGTGTCTCAAATAAATATTATTTTTTTATTTTTTACGGGGGTGCCTGTATTCGCCAAATTGACTTTTTTCATTTTTTCTTTCCCTCAATTCTCGTTGAAAATAACAATCGTTTAAAATAAAAATATACGTAATTTATAAAAAAAAGAGAACGGCTGCCCAAACAATTATTGTTTAAGTAGTCAAAAAAAGGCGGAAGCGGAAAATTGAGAAAAAATGGGAAGAGAGAAAAATTCGAGAGTTGCTAGAACGTTTGGAGGCGCGAACACCGCTGTTTTAAAAATTCATAAAATTGTCTAGAAAAATTCTAGAAACCTGAAATTTGGCATTAATATTCTTATTAGTGTTAGCTATCTTCTCTAAAAATTTCAGAATTTTTGATTAGATAATTGAAAAGTTCTAGACAAAAATGTCAAAATTTTTAAAGAAAAATGACGTTTTTTTGTTACCGTATTTCCTAAAATAGTACGGCCTGCTAAATTAGTACGGCCCCCTGAAATAGTACGGCCCTTTGGAATAGGGTTGAAAAATAGTACGGCCCCCTAAATTAGTACGGCCCCCTGAAATAGTACGGCCCCCATTTAAAAAATATAAAAAATAGACAAAATTTGTTTTTTTAATCATAGTAATTATTCCTCGCAATATTTAACTAATTTATTGAATCTTAATATCTATTGGTATAGAAATTGGAGTGCTTAAGAGGATATAGGTGGATTAATGGAGATTATGTTGGATTTAGAAGGATATTGTGGATTTGGAGTAATTTAAGTCTGGATGAATTTAAAAGGATTAGTTGGAATCAAAGTGAATAACGAAAGCTTTTAGTACTAGGAAGTTGGATTGACAACCTTCTATCTAAAAACTAAGGGCAACTCAAAACATGCTAATATCTCATAAATCAGTATCGGGATTTGAGTTAATGATACCAATACCGGCTCGGGATTGGGCCGGTATTAGCTCGGACACCTCGCAATTTTAGCTCGGACACCTCGCAAACTCTCCTTGTTGATATTTGATGTTTGTCATAAGGCAAAACTTGTAAAAAATATTTTTTTCTCGGCTTATTTTGTTGGTTGAGTAGAAAAACTCGGTCTTACAAAACTCGGTCGAGACAATTTGTCTGTTGTTGTTTTTCTGTCCCGTTAGTTAGCCTGACGCGAAAATAAAAAATTAAAAATAACAGCACTCGACCCAAAAGACCCCAAACAAATTGGATCGAGTTTTGTTAAGACCGAGTTTTGCCACTCACACAACAAAATAATCAGTGGAAAAATTATTTTTTACACAGTTTTGCCTTATGACAAACATCAAATACTAAGGAAAATTGACCCCATTCCGAGGCGGTCAAAGGAAGTAAGGAAAAATGCGATCCGAGCAATCCTTTCATATACATTCGTGGATCATATAAAAATTTAAACACAAAAAAAAATTCAGATAATTTTGAAAAAGGGTTGAAATATAGTGCGGCCCCCTAAATTAGTACGGCCCCCTAAATTAGTACGGCCCCCTGAAATAGTACGGCCCTTTGGAAGAGGGTTGAAAAATAGTACGGCCGGCCGTACTATTTTAGGAAATACGGTAATTTATGTCTATAATCTTGGGAATAATAAATTAAAAATTTTTTTTAATTTAAAGAAAAATTAATTAACATTTTGAGGGCTTCTTGCAATTTTTTAAAGCAAAAAGTATTTGGCTATGAGTCATTTTATAAGCGCGCGCCTAAACGTTAATGCGCCGAAACATCAAAAGACCCCCAAGTTTAAAAAGGGAAGAAAACAAATATTACTACACACACATTACTAGTATCGGGCTCAACCTTTGAAAAAGCACGTGAATTTGTTGAATAAAGAAAGGATTATAAATAAAAAGGAAACAAAAAAAAATAGTAGAAAGACGTGCGATTGACAGTCAAAACTTTCTGTGTTTTTTTACTCTTTTATTTTCCTTCCCAGTTTTCACGCGAGCGTTTTTGTGTTGTGATGCTGCCAGCTTGCATTTCCCCTCTCTATTTCTCTCTTTACAATCTTTGCCCGAATGGCCATATATGTGTGTATACTACCCATAATATCGAAAACTCTAAAATTTATCCGTAGCTTTTCATTTAGGGGGGGGGGATGTTGAGAGATGATTATAGGAAGGAGGGGTGTGTATGTAGATGACCTACGACCAACTCCAGACATCCAAGGACCTCGTCCCCCATGTCTTCTGAGATCCAACAAAGGATAACTCTACTAGGTATATACAGTTTCCACAGCTTTATCTTCATACCTGCCCTTTCCTTACTCCACGGGAAGAAAATTCCCTTTCTAATCTTTTCCATTACCATTTCCGTAAATCTCTCTTTAATCTTAATCTTTAGGAGGTCCAAGTTTTAATTAATGGTTTTAATTAAGAGCTCCGATCTTCTGGGTTTCCTTTTAAAAGAGATGTGGAGGGGAGAGGAGGGAAGGGAGGGAAAGGGGGCAGGGGAGAGGAGGGGGTTGGCAAGGGATTATTGCCAATATTTTTATTTTTCTTTTCCCTTCCCTTCACTTCTCTTACAATTTTTATTTTTTTTCTACACCCCCTTCCCTTCCTATATCCCTTAAAATCCCTCATTCTCGCCTGTCAATAAATGTGCGAACAACAAAACGAACGGCCAACCGCTCTCGTCAAAAAAAATTTTTCTTCCCTTCTCCTTCCCCTCTTTTTTCCTTCTTTAATTCTTTTTCTCCTTTTTTCTTTACTATTTTCTCGTTTCCGTAATCCAGTTTTTCTTTCCCTCTCAAAAAAATATTTTTCCTCATTCCTCCCCTTCCCCTTATCCCCCCTTCCTCTTAAAAATATTTTTTTTCTTCCCTTTCCTTGTAAAAAATGTTGCCGTTGTTTTTATTTTTTTAAATTTTTCCACGGTTTTCGGTCTTTTCCCATAAATTTTAACTAAAGCTTCTTTATTCTTTTTATCTTTTATTTTTTTAATTCTTCATTTAAAATTGAGTTGATTTAATTAATTAAATTGATTAATTAATTATTTTCCTTCCCCTAAGTTTTTTAAAAGGAAGTTATTTATTTTTAAAGTGCAGATTTAGTTTATTTTTTATTTACTTAGATATATCCTTTTCCTCCTCTAATACCTAAAATACAGTCGAACTCCACTATAATTTAATCAGGGATGAGATTCTCTTCCGATTCCATCTATCGATGAATTTCGTCTTTTTTGCTCTTCCGCCTTCCGTTTTTAAAATACGGCAGAGCCCCTTCCTTATATACACCCATTAATGTATGTATATTAGGGTATGTTCAATTTAGGGTATGTTTCTTGTTTGGACATAAGGAGGGGTAGGGGAGGAGAAGAGGGGGGGGGGGGGCGATACCCCCAATTTAGTTTACTCTACAATCTTCCAACCCCAAGAGTTTATATGTATTTTAATTAGGCCCTTTTTGCTTTCCGAATATTTTAATTTGAAGTCTCCTACTATGAATTCTTTATAAAAATATTAATTAGCAAAGAAATTTAAATTTTTAAACAGGAAATACAAAAAAATTTTTTCAAAAAAATTTTTTATTAAAATATTTTTTTCGTGTTCTTCGATTTTTTATTAAAACAAAGATTAAAAAATACATATCTCTTTTTAACTTCCAAAAATAAAAAAAAAATTTTAATTTAAAATTTATTTTTTCTTTTCATCTTTGAGCGCTTAAAAATACGGAACTAGCGTTATTATTTTTATAGTTAGTTTCTCTTCCCGTTTCCAAAATATTAAACAAGATGAACAAATATTTTAGAAAATATAAAATATTTTTCAATGTTTGTTAACACTATATAAAAATATTTTTCTCTCCTCTTTTTTTAAAATTATTTTTATTTTGGGGGACCGTTTCGGCGCAGGTACAATCTTTGCGCGAGCTTATGAATTTACCATTTGTCGAGGACCTAGAAACTTGAAATATTGCACAATTGTTATATAATATGTATGTTAGTTATCTTCTCTAAAAATTTCAGAATTTTCGCTTTTGTTTTTACAAAGTTATAGTCGAAAAACTACTAGAAAAATGATGTTTCCCTAAAATTTGACTACATATTTTACCTCAGATTAAAAATTTAAACTCCAAATTTTTTTTAATTTCTAGAGGGGTTTAACAACTCTTTTAGGATTATCTTAGCAAAATTTCATGCCTCTATATATTTTTTTGAAGCTTTCCTAGGCTCACGCCATATCTTTGTTTAGCTGTTCAGCATCTAAATGTCACCTATTTTATTTTTATTTTTCTATCTAAAAATATTTAAAATAAAATTTTTTTATGTAAAAACTTTCGAAAAAGTATTTTTTTCTCCCACGTTTCATTTAAATATTTTAGTTCCTCTTATAATAAAAATTTATATTTCTGTTTAAATAAAATTTATTTATTTTTCAGATTTTTATTTTTATTTATTTAATTTTTAATTTATAAAAATTATTTAAAAATTTATTTAAATTTTTATTTTTAAACATTTAAATAAATTTTAATTTTTTGTTAGTCGACTATATTTTTTAAAAAAATTCAGAATTTTCGCTTTTACTTTTCTTAAGTTATAGTCGAAAGCATTCTCAAAATTTATTCTAATTCTGTTTTTGTTTATTAGTTATCAATTGTTATTTTCGCTTTTTCAATTCTTTATCTTTTTGATATTTAATCGAAAAATACCGGACTCGATCTTCTAATTGGGCTAATCTCAATTAAGCAGGGTAGGGAAGAGAAAGATCCAGCTGGCTAGCATTTATAACGCTTACAGGCGGGTTTAAAATCCATTAAAACTGGAGGTAAAAGCAACGCCCGGTAGTCAAGTCGATAGGCACTACCTGTACGTGGTGAACAAAAGCGCCTAGGAATAACTGCCAACTCGATGCCTGCCTGGGATTAAACCTTTCTTTTAAACCTTTAAAAAAATTATACCTTTCTAAGACGGAATGCTTACAGAATTTATATTTGAATAGTTATTTTCTTTCTCGTTTATCTAACATTAGCAAGTTCCGCAAAAATCCTCAGAATTCCTCGAAAATACAACTTAACCGGTCTATTAATGTTGGTGCCATTTAATCATTCACTAGTTTGTCGTTAATTTTTTCTTTTTTATTTTTATCAGTTTCCGTCAAATCTTGGATTTTTAATTTTTCTCCCCCAAATATATCCCCCACTTTCTCCCCGTATTCTTAATTTTCTCAATTCCAATGTTCAACGATCAAAAAGAAAAATTTTTTTTCTTTTCTTTATCCCTACAAATCCTTAATTTCTTTAACTGATATTATCATTTCTGCTTCAATTTATTTTTAAAATTTATTACAAAAATTTCTTTGACTCTAAATAAATTATTTATTTTTTTTAAACTTTTTTAATTAAAAAAATTTTTCCCAGGCACTGAAAATTAAATTTTATTTTAAAAATATTGCTAAAATAATTTTTTTCTTATATTTTTAAATTAATCACATGATTTTCTTTTATTTTTTCCATTAAAATTTATTATTTAAAATTAAATCCACAATTCATTTAAATCGAGTAGCAACACGTTCTCCGTTTTTAGCTGTTATTACTATAATAAAATAAATACTTATACCGTAAATGCTCAAATAATTACACGGGGTAGTTATTGTTTGGACCTCGCACTCAAGAGGGTAATTACTCGAGAGATGCGCTAGATTTTGTTATATCTCAATAAATCGAAGACGGAATTACTTAATTAATTTGTCCCTGATATAGATTCATAAAATGTTCCAATAATTAAACTTGACAATGATTTTTTCAATATTTTTAAGATTAGTGTTGGAAAAAAGAGGGTGTATTTACTTGAGAGAGGGTAATATTCGAGCATTTACTAAAATAAAATTACCGTAAATGCTGAAATAATTACCCTCTCTCAAATAATTACCCTCTCTAATAATTACCCCCTCGTTATTTTACTCAAACTTTAAAATATTCAAAGAATTACTATCAAATTTGATTATTGGAACATTTTAAGACTCAATATCAAAAAATAAATCAATTTCGCCCCAACTGGATTGAAATATACCCTAAATCCAGCACATCCTCCCTAATAATTACCCCCTCCAGCGAGAGGTTGAAACAATAATTACCCAGGGTAATTATTTCAGCATTTACGGTAGGTATATTATACATAGTAGTTGTAGTTTATTTATTTTTAGAGGAAATTTTGAGGAAGGTATAAAAATTTAAGGAGTGCTCGCATGTACATTTATGTAATTATTTAACTTTTAAATTCTGAACGCCCATTTAGTTATTTATCGAGCTGAATCTGTCCTTTAAGATTTTTTTCTGTTTCCTCTTAAACCAAAAGAAAAATGAATTAAAAATATTGGCAATAATCCCTTGCCACGTGAAGTTAAAGCCGTTAAGATCAAAAAGAAGATTAATGAGAAATGATGGGTGTGAGGAGGGGGGGGGGTTTGTTTTAAATTTTTAATTAAAAAATTGTTTATTTCTTCTAAAAAACTTCACTTTTCAATTTTTTATTGACTGATATGTTTAGTAAATAAAAAAATATTTAATTAAAAAAATAAATTCCCTAAAGTACAACAAAGGGAACAAAGTAGAAAAATGAACGGGAAGGATAACAAACAAAAAAGCAACAATTGGTTTTTTTTCTTCCGTTTATTTTAAAACCAAATGCTTCTTTTACAACATTTTTTTGTGACTTTTAAAATTCATTTAAAAATATTTATTGGCATATGTCTTATAAGCGTTATAACGTGAATGTTGTCAATTCCAAGCCTTATAAAATTGTCAAAATATCACCTAGCTTCCCTAATTTTTTTCTGAGAATTTTAGATAAATAAATTTAACAACTCTAAAAATTTCAGAATTTTTGGTTAATTTTTTGGCAAGTTATGGCCCAAAGTTTTAATAAATCTTACGGAAATGACCAACTTTTTTGGTTTTTTTGCTCATAATTCTTTTTGTATTTAATCAAAAATTCTTTAATTTGTAGATTTATTAGATAACCCTCTGAAAAATATTTGTACAAAATTTCATTTTGATATATATTTTCAAGGCTGTTTTATAGCCGTCCGTTATCCCATTATGGCACAAATATAGGGATTGTATTTTCGGTGAATTGTCCCTACCCCCTATCTATTTTACAATTTATTTTTATTTTTTTTAAAATTAATAAAGAAATCTGTATTTTATTTATGTATGTACATATTTATTTTTTTTCATTTCCCATTCATTTTATTTTTATCTAAAAATAATAGAAACAAAAATAAATTTATTTAAATAAATATTTAATTAACTAAAACCCTTTTTTGTCAAAGAAAATATTTTTCCTGCTGCAAAAAATTATTTTTTAAAAATAAAATTTTAAATTATAAAAAAGGAAATTAAAAAAAAGGAATATTTTGAGGGATAGCTAAACACCAAAAACCATTTTTGTAAGTAGCTATTATTTTCTGACACGTGGATTTTATTAAATAAAAATCAATTAAAGTTGGGAAGGGGTGGGGGGATTTTAATTTTTAAAAATAATTATTTTTGAGGGAATTTTTAATGGTAAAAACTTAAATTTATTCTCTCCTTTTTTTAAATTTACAAAAAAAATTTTGTGGAAAATATACGATTTTTTTATTGCTTTTAAAAATTTCATTGGACAATTCACCGAAAATTCAATGAAAAAATCTTTTCTAAATACTTTAACTACACTTTAACTAAACACTTTAATCTTTCCTAAACCTTTAACTAAACATTTTCCTAAACACATTTTTATTCTAAAATCGAAAGGGTTAACCAACCCTCAACTGCAGTTAGGTTAACCCAGAACATTTATAAATGAGGGAAAGGATAACCCCGAGTTATAGTTCGCTCTCGGGTATTAGAACCCGCGTCTGCGTGTAAAATTTGTTCCCTCATCTGAATACTGACCCAGAAGATGTTTTATGTGTAAGGATTAGACTAGAAACCTCACTTACAATTATGGTAAGTTTCTCCTCAGGTTTTCCAAATACAAATTTATTTTCGGTGAATTGTCCATTTCCTTAAAAATTAATCTTTTGATCTTTGTTCATTTAAGAATCATTAAATAATATTTTTATATTTTGTTGGGTTCTCTTGACAACGAACAGGAACACCTTATTTGATAAATTTGTCTTTCTTTAATGTATAATCCATTAAAATAATCCGGATACATTTCTAGGCGTGGGTGACTTTAAAACCGTTGTAGGTTTATTTCTGTTTTTATTTTTGGGGAAGATTTCCTGTCCAGACATGCCGATTAGTGCCTTATATCCAAATTAGTCCTTTTAATTTTTTGATGGCACCTACAAAAGGATACAGTTAAATCTCAGTAGGAACTCAACCTCAGGACCTTTATCTTAAAATGTAGTGATATCAGGGAGACGTGATATCAAGATTCGACTCTATTCGGCTCTCCCCTCCACCAAAACCATTCCAAGTGAATCGTATTTTCGGTGAATTGCCCCTTTGTCAAAATTTTGTTTAAAAAATTTGAGAGTTCAAAACAAAAATTCTTTAACAGCAAAACACCAAATATCTTTTTATCGTTTCACTTTTTTGATTATAAAAAAATATATTTATGTATATGTTTACTTTATTGTATGTTTGTCTGAAAACCCCGTGAAATTTTTATTTAAAAAATGTTAAAAAATTAAGAATAACAACTTTTTAATTGGACAAAAAATGGTTGTTGTTATTAATAAAAATTGTTTTTTAATGTAAATTTAGCTTTAAATAAACAACAAGTTTCTGAACTGAGTATTCCCCTTTTCCATTTTCTTGGGATTCCTGATTTTATTAGGATTGCTTTAAAATGATTTTTCTAAAGGGTGAGAGGATGTGGTTGCTTTTTTTAGCTTCTGACTTACTCAAAATTTTATTTTTCTGGTTTTTTCAAGTTTAAAAATTGTCTTTGTTATATCCTAGGGTAGGTTTAACCTAATACAAGAATCGAATGTTTTTCACGGGCAATCGTCAGAGATTAAGGAAGATCAAGACTGATCGCTAGACACGCGTACCTAATAGTCCTAAAAAATATAACCTCAATCAGCCTTGACTTGGAATCGGAAACACTTGTTAGTGTGTCACATAATTAATTCAGAAAATAACCTAGACCCAGAAACTTGAGAAAACAAAAATACCTTCCTATATTTTGCCAGACTTTCCCTTAAACAAATAATCAAAAACCCCTTTCCTCCCCTCCCTCTTTATTAAAATTTTATTTTTTTAAATTCCTCGACTAAAGAATTTCTTCTTCATTTTTGTTTATTTGTTTTTTTATTCCCTCAGGACCAATTTAACACAAAAATAAACGTTCTCTCGGCTGTCCTTTCTTTCATTTACGTAAACTTTTGTGTCCTTATTTTTTTTAATAATTTTTTTCCGTGTTTATTATTTCCCCCCTTCATTTCTATCAATTCCTCTCTTCTCTCCCCTTCCAATTTTTCTCTTCTTTTTTTTTCAATTTTCTCGTCATTCTCTCGTCAACTACTAATCGTCCGATCGGTCTTAACTAAAAAATTTTACAAACACTTTTATTTTAAATAATATTCACTCCCTTCCCTCTTTTAATTATTTATATCTTTTTTTTTAAATAAAATTTTGTGTGTTTGATAACAAATAAATAAAAATATTTAAAAATAAAAATTGCAGTGATGGCTTTTTCTCTTTAACACACATCTTTAGGCAAATTTATTTTTATTACTTTTTATTGTTAAAATAACTAAAATTTTCGTTTTAAATTTGCGCGTTTGTGTGTCCTCAATTTTCCTTTAAATTTCTTAAAGGGGGTTGTATAGGCGCGGATGTTTGTTGGGCGCGGAGGTGTATAAAATGCACATTTTAGAAGCTAAAAACGTGAAAATCTGTGAAAATATATGCTTGATAGTGCTTTAGCCCGTCCTAAATTTTCATAATTTTTGGTTTTGTTTTTAGTGAGTTGTGATCGAAAAACCACAAAAAATCAACAAAAATCAACATTTTTGACCATAATTTTTCAGAAACTTGACAGAAAAATCTGAAAATTTTAATCAAGATATTTAACTTAGCTGGGAATATTTTTACAAAATTTCACGATTTTAGGTTATCTTTTGACAAATTTATTAAAAATCGCGCCCTAAAAGTCTCTCTCTCTCTTCCTTAACTTAACCTTCTCCAATTCTTCCCCTTTTTTTGCCACATAAATACGTTAAAGCTCGCTTTTGATCAAAGAAAAATATTCGTAGCCCTTTTAGGGGAATTATTTATATGTTTGTGGTTTGATTTTTACTTTTTCCTTTCAAAATTTTTCAAAAAAAATTTTTTTTATTTTCTTTACTCAATCTAAGGTCAATTGCTCTAAAAGTTCTTTGAAAACTTTTTTATTACCTTCGCCGTTCCGAAATTTTGTTAAAATTTATTTTTTCTTCTTTGCTCTGTCTATATACTTTTGTCGGAGTTTATAATAAAATTTTTTGAAATACAAAATCTTCACTTTCTTTTTGTAAAGCAAAAATCTTCCTTTTATCTTTCCTTTTATCAAATAATTTATTTTTTTGTTTTTAGTAGTATTTAATTTCCGGAAACTTTTCTGATTATTTCAGAATAGTTTTCCGGTTTTCTCGTTATTAAATGTTTAGGAATTTGTTTCCGGAAAGCTTTTGAATTTTTGGAGACAGATTCCTGTTAGGGAGGGTTGGGTATATAATCTTTCCGGATTAATTTATTTTCAGGAAAATTTCCGGAATTTGTGTAGAATCCAGAAAAACCTGCTGAAGTCTTTTGGAATGATTTCTCTCCTTTTTAATATTTCTTTTCCGGAATTAAAAAAATTATTTTCAACACTAAATAAGGACGAATTTTATTTATTTAAGTTAATAATTCTGTTAATATTTACATTATTTTTCCTTTCCGGAATAAATTAATAATTAATTATTTTTTTATTTTTCAGTTAATTAGGGCTGCTTTTTGCAATTCAAAAAACAACAAATAAATAAACTTTTTAATTGCCCTATTAATTACAAAATTTATTCTGAAAAAAAATTTTTGGAAAGAAAATTAAAAACAAAAAGTTCCAAAAAACCTATTCAGCTGCAGCAGCTTTTTATTGCCGCCGCTGCTGATTGAATTTAGATAAAAAGCCCATGCGTAGATTTCTGGCTTTGGGCTGCCAAGAGCCGTCACTGCTGTGCTGTCCAGCCGAAGCTGCAAGTCCACCGCCACTTTCAGCCTTTCAACGTTCACCTAATAATTGCTCTCTTGGAGCCACCACTTTAATTCCTTCACCGAATTCACTCAGCGCCGCCACAACAGCTGTGGACAGGCTTTTTACAAATATTGAACGCCAACTTAGTGCAAAGATAGCACTCATCGACCCGCTGCTTTTAACAGCTAGTGGTGGAGGGGTAGGAGGAGGAGGTGGAGGAGGTGATGGAGATGCCAATGATCAACAGGTAGACTTTTATAACTTTTAGCTTTTGGAAGGCATTCCTTCTCTTTTGAAGTAAATTTCTATCGAAGGGCACTTTAATGGAAAGACGTGCCTATTAGACTTGATGTTCTATCTCCGATACCTACTAAAATTTGAGGGCACATAGGAGGAGGAGGTGGAGGATGTAATGATAACACAACTATTAAAAAGGGCTCCTTTCTATTAGAATGACCTTATCCAGAGGGGAAGTTATTGAAAGATTGAGTGATTTGCCTTTGCATTTTAGAGCATTTAAAAATATTAACCATTTAATACCCAAAATTTATAGAAAAGTCCTCTACCCAGATGTGGTGAACAACCTCAATATACCACCTCAACACAACTACAAGAACAACAAAAAGACAATAACAATAGAGAAGATGAACAGAAAAAACAATGTGAAGAAGGGAATACTCAGAATCAAAAGTTGGAAGGAGGGCCACCTCAGAAAGGGCTTGATGCCTTTTTTGCGGCATTATCAAATGCCAATGATAATGGACAGAAACAACAAGAGGTTTTTAGACATTCTTGTTGATTCCTTAATTAAAAATATTTTTCTTTCCCAGAAATCCCCACCCCAAAACCAATTAATTTGTGGAGGACCATCATCAACTCAATTTAGCTTCCCACAGACATCTGCTCCCACAACGGCTTTTCCTTCTACCGATGATAGGCATACTAATACTAATTTTGTTGGAAATAACAACAACAATATTTCCTCCAATACATCACCAACAAACCCTTCAAAACCTCAAAATCCTTTAGTTTCAAATCAACAAAATTTAAGTAATGCTATAGCCAATGCTGCAGTAAATATAGTAAATGCAGCAATTGCTGTACAACAACATCAAAATCAACAACAACAGCAACATTTGGCAGCTTTACAATTTGCTGCACAATCAGTCGCTTCTATGCCATTAAGTCCTCAACAGGGGTTAAATGCCCAGGTTGGGGCAATTCTAAATCAGTTAACTACTGCTGCCCCAAATATTTTACGACCTCTTGGAACACAGTCTAAGCCTATACCGGTAATTTTTGATATTTTATGCAGTTGGACTTCATTATGAGATAGACCCAATGATATAGATACAAAACTGTTTAAAATAGGGTATTTTAATTTGGTTGGCAACGGGTGGAGGACAAGTATCAGGGATGTCAAAATTTTCTTTGAATGGTATCGGGTTTCGGGTAATCCGTGACATCTTTGGAAGTGTTGGTATACCTCCCGCCTTCCACTTATAAATTGTAGCATGACCCATTCCTTGTTGAGGGGCTGCTAAACAATACTTCTCTATCTAAGATATGAGATAAGTCTGTATTTGAAATAATATATAGTAAAAATTTTATTTTTTAGTTAGTAGAGGATAAAGTGGATTTAATGCGTTTTAAAAGAAAAGAACCTAGAGAATGGTCAGACGATGATGTTATTGCTTGGATTTTGGATGTGGCTAGAAGACATAGAATTCCTTGTGAGATTTTTAGACAATAATTATCTCTACGGGGGGCCTCGGAAAGTTTTTTGGGAGCCGTGGAAGGGAGGGGGGGGGGGTGGGGTTATTTTTTTTTACGAATTTCTAAAAGTTTTACGAACCCTTTGAACAAATTATATTTAAAAATTCAATTACTTTTGTCCTTTTTTTAATTTTAATGACTAATTTTTAAAAAATATTCCATCGATTTTAGGCGAAAATATGAATTTAACAAAGTTCGCCAAATGCTCTGGACCTTTATTAATGTTGATGAATGAGCAAAGTTTTAAAGAGCAAGATCCCAAGTAAAAACAATTTTAAAAAATTATTTAAAAAATAAAAAAACAAAGACACATGAATTTTAAAATTAAAATAAAAAAAGTTGTCTATTTTTTGATTAATTAATTTTGGCGTGTCTGGTTTTAAAATTTTTAATAATTTTTTTGTCTGCATTACTTAAACCTGGTTTTTATTGCGGATAAAATTTTCTTGGCAGTTTTTAAAGGATAATTACATAATTGTTGGACCCAAAATTAGATAACCTCTCAGTAGAAGTTACAATTTTAAATCATCAAAGAAGGGGCTTGAGAAAAAATCGCACTTCTTTATAAACGAATAAAGTAGATCCCCAAAATTTGTAATCACCATATCCCCCAAATCCCCAAAGACAATTTAAAATTCAAAATTTCCAGTTATGGATCTCTACTTTTTGGTGAATTTTGTAAATTGGTTACCGACGAAAATTTTATTGACGAATGGATGCGTATTAACGGGCCTTCATGTAGCAGTAGTTATAGCGACCATCAAAGGCAGTCTTCAACAATTAAAGAGAACCCTCCTCCTCCTCAACATAATTATCAACAACAATCTCTCCAAATGACTAGAGCAACAAATAATGTTGGGAATTTATTGATGGCCAATTTGGCTTTGAAATTGTCTGCTCCCCAATCTTCTGATTCTTCTGGACAACAAGGACTTCTTTTGGCAGCTGCTGGGTTTGCTGCAAATAATCAGCAGCAACAACAACACTATCATCAACAGCAACAGAGATTAACGGGGCAATTACCCCCTCCTTTAGGGCATTTATTATCCCCGACAGTTGGACAGTCCTCTTTATTGGCACTTCAACAACAAGGGGGGACACCAACAATACACGCTCCCTCCCCTATAAACCCTTCACAAAGACAACAACAAATTGTGGGGGCTGTTAATCACATTTTGCAGCAGCAACCTGGAGGAAGTCAACAAGGGATTGGAGGGAGAATGGGTGTTAGAGGAATGAGACCGGGACAACAACGGAGTTTGAAAGGTATGGAAATGAAAGATTTATCCTGGGCTTTATCCTTGGAATGTTTATATAAAATTATTCTAATAAAAGCATTTTCTAATAGGAGCCCCTCTTAAGAAAACACTCTAATAAAATACACTTTCTAATAGAAGTCACTCTCTAATAAAAAGTCCCTCTTCAATAGTAAGTTATACAGATACTCTTTAATAGACACCCTTCCTCTAACAGGAATGTCCCTTTCTAATAAGAGGATTCTCTCCAATAAGAAGGAATACAGTCAGAATTAACTATTAGATACCCTTCTGGATCGGGAAATTTAAAAAATTATCTAAAATAATTTTTTATCTAAAATATCTAATTATATGACTTTCGACTTCTTAGAATAGTTTAGACTTCACTAATTTTTGGCTTTTCCTTTTTTTTGCAAAAATTATGCAAAATACTCTACTCCAAAAATAAATAGATAGGTAGATGATGGGCCATTTTTCACAAAATGATTTATAAAAATAATTATTTTTTTCCCAAAATTTATTACTTTTAAATAAAAGTAAAAGATCGTGGAACGGAAAAAAATATTATTTTTATTTTTTTATTAAATTTTAATGTTACACTTTAATGAGAGAGATCCTTTCTAGCTTAATATAATTTATTGGAAGCCTTTTTTTGTAAGAAAAAAATTATTGTGTACTTAATTTTTGGACATACGTATTTTTGTAGTTTTAGTTAGTGGAACATTTTAATAGTTTTTAAAAAAAGGCCGATTAATTATTAATAGATTTTTGATTAAAATTTAATGGAAATAAAAAAATAATAAAATGTAAGAAAAAAAGATTTTGCATAAATAATGTTGAAAATATTTTACGTACTAATTATAAACTTACCGAAACTACAATTCACTGATTATTAAGTTCGAGGGAAGGGGATTGAAAGAGACACTATTTGTAGATTTTGAGATAATTAAATATTATTTTCTAGCATTATTCCCTGAAAAAGCATCCATTTCAGTCAAATTTGGATCTGAATCTTATTTATTTATTTTTGGAACCTTCCTTTGCCCAGAAACCCTCCTTCACTGCATTCGATACCCTTTTTTCGTTTCTACCGCTATTTTAGGCAGTTTCCCGTTCCATTTTTAATTGAGTTTGACATTATTTCCCCCATGTCAATAGATTATCTGATGATAAAATGTCTTTTTCTATCAAAATTTAATTTCCCCTTTTATTTTTAGTAGCTGAACAAAAAATTCGTCGAAATAAAGACGGCAGACCACGAAAACGTTCTCAACACACAAAAGGCAACAAATTATGGGAATTTATTAGGGATGCATTAAAAGACCCAAGAACTTGCCCTTCAATTGTTCGTTGGGAAGATCCTTCTGAAGGGGTATTTCGAATTGTTGAATCTGAACGGCTGGCATTTTTGTGGGGACAGAAGAAGAATAACCAGAAAATGACTTATGAGAAGTTGAGCCGAGCAATGAGGTGAGGGAGAGAGGAATTTTTTAAAGAGATTTCTTTAGAAAGAGGAATTTATTTTAGAAAGATTTTTTTGAAATTTTAAGGGGTTTTTGGATTTTTTTGGATTTTTGAGATTACGGATTTTAAAGATTGGACTTTATTTTTTCTTAAATATTTTTTCGACATTTTGTTGTTTCCGAATTTGATTTTTGGCTTGATTTTTTCTAATTATTTTAAGTCACCCTTTTAGTATTTTTTTTATTTTTCGAGGTTTTAAATATTTTTTGAGACTCCCGCATTGTAAACCCTATAATGATATAAGCCAACAACTGGTATAAGATATAAGCCCCTATACTAGGGTCCGACATATCCAAAGAGTACCGATATAGGTAAAGCCCATAACTGACCTTAGCCCCAATCCTTTATCTTTTCCTCTAAAATAAGATTATAAGGAGGAAAAGCATCCTGAATATATTCTTCACCCTCTTATTTTTTAACTTTCAGGACTTATTACGAAAAGCAAATACTTGTTCCTGTGCCAAAATCAGGACTTTACCCTAAAAAATTGGTCAGTTTACCTTTAAAAACAAACAAAAATTATTTCCCTTCCTTAAAGGTTTACAAATTCGGTCCGAGCGCTATGGGATGGAAAATGGCTGCTTCTATGGCTGTCCAAACACAATTAGCAATTGTTGGTAGTTCAACAGATATTTCTCCTCAAATTCATCATCACCAACTTCAACGTTTATGAAATTCGTTAGAAAAAATTTTTCAAAAATTTCTGTAGGCAATTAAAATAAAAAAATTCTAGTCTTTAAAAAAACTAGAGGAATTAATGAAAAAGAAAAGAGAGAAAATTAAATAATGATCTCATTCCCTAAAAATATACAAAATAAATATATATTTCTATCAAAACTTCAATAAATTCCACAAATTATATGCGTACTTGTTTTTATCAGTCGGAACTCATTATAGGATAATTTACTAATCACTTTCCTCGATTTAAGAGATTTTATTAATCATCTGCCTAGCCATTAGGAGAGCTGAGGATTTTTTGGTTCGGTTCCAAATTTTCCCTAAGCCTATCCTAAAAAATTCTAAAAAGATTTCCCTACCAAAATCTCGAAAAATATCCCTAACCAAAAGCCCTAGTAATATCTCTAAGAACCCTCCAAAAACCCTAAATAGAACATGGAAAGGGTTCAGATCGTGGCAAAGACAGGATGTCCCCTTCCCTCTTCAATAGGGCATTTTATTTATATGTATTAACTACGACTTTTTAGGCCATAAAAGTATCTAAAAATGAGTTCAGACTGTTTATCTAATAAATTAAAAAATTATACAAAACAAAATCTCGGGTAGAAAGTCCACATTTTAAATATTTTTTATTAAAAATACCCTTGGTGAGAATAAATATTTTCTCAAAATAAAAAGTTTTTTAAATTATTTTTTCAACTTTAAAATAACCTCACCTAGGGTGCTTATTCTTCTTTTTGACTCTTTTATCTTTAAAAATTATTAATTTTCATCAACTTGCAAAAATTGATCTTGCCGTTTTTTTCTTTTTTTATACAAAAATTAGGGATGAGAAAATGGAGAGGGGTTAACTTTTAAATTTTTTGGAGTGTCAAACCTTCTATCTTGTAGACTCTTATTTTAATGTTAAATTTAGAGGGATATAAATATAAAGTCACACCACTATGAAGTTTCCAATCCTTTTTAGATATTGAGGATTTTCCCAAAATCTTACCAAATCCTAATAGAGCAGCCATTTATAGAGATAGGCAAAACACGAGGCTAGCAAAATTTAATTAAAAAATTTTTTTCGAAAGTTCGCTAATTCAATTTCTCCATTAAGGTTGGCGGATCCGGATCCGAAAAAAGGCCGAATATCCGGAAATTTTCGGTTCGGATACCGATTATCCGAAGATTTCCAGCTATCTGCCAACCTTATTCTCCATGCCAGGGTTATACGACATCCAATTTTTATAAACTCGACAACATCAAAAACGTCGTAGCGCTCATTCAGCCCTTCTCCATTCTCATCCCTTAAATTTAATCACTTTTTTAAAATTTTTCTTTTTTTATTTTTCCGGTTCAAGTGTTTCCTCTTTTAATTACCAGTGATTGTTAGACTTTTCTTTATTTTTTTAAACCCGGTAAAGACAAAAATTAATTTAAATTTTAGTTTTAATATCATAATCAACACAAAACACATTCTCTCCTCAAAAAATATTTTTATTTTTCTCAGATTAATATTTTCTTTTTAAATTTTTCCTGGAATTTTGTAAACTATTTTTAAAAGAATAAAAATATTTAATTTTAAAGTAATGAAATTAGAGAAGGAAAATGAGGGAGTAATTATTTGAGAGAGGGTAATTATTTGAGAGAGGGTAATTATTCGAGCATTGTCAGTTTTTTACTGACAAATTATCAATTAACAAATGCTCAAATTAAAGCTTGGCTCTATCAGATAACAGAAAAATCTTCAAAAATCGTAAATCGAAAGGAAAAACCACCGAAAATAAAATTACGAAACATTTTAATGTAGTTAGGGGATCATCTTCCTCTGTTTGTTAAGGAGTGTTTTTCTTTAACATTAACGATTAATCACTCAATTATTCTTACAGGTGGGCACTGAGAAATGTAGTACTTATTGACATGTGTAACTTTGTGAGATTTATTACTAATTCTACTTAATATTAATTATTTTAATTAAAAAATTATTTGAACTATAATAAATCGACAACCTTATCCTTCATTAACATTATTCATATTTTTGTATGTCGGCATAAATTGTCGACAGATTATAAAAATGTTAAATTATGTAAATTGAAAAGCAAGTATTATTTGCAGTAGAAGAAATTATCGTCATTATTCCAAAAATCCAAACAAGCCCCTAAACAAGAAATTTCGGTTCTATCATATGAGATAAATAAGTTTAGGCACTGAAACCAAAACTTATTTCATAGTAAATTTTATCGGTGTTGTACACCAGCCTCCAAAAACTCTTTTCAGATTCTAGTCGACATTGCAATAAAAATCCCGATTTCGGGAAATCAGGATCCCGACACAAAAAACAAAGACCGCATAATAGTTGTTCATTACTCGCTCGATGAAAGTATGAGTTAAGAGTAGTGTTTTAAGAGGCTGTATGATGAGCTAAAAGATTGAAAAATTTTTTGAAAAATTCTCAAAATTAACTGCATTGAAACAGAAAATGTCAGAATTTTCGAATTGTCAGTGATTTAACTGGAGAAAATTTTATTTCATGAAACCGGGAAAACAATGTGAAAACCCTAAATTCGAATTCACATTATGAGAAAAATTTAAAAAAAGTTTATTTTGACCCTATCTAGAAACAAAATTCTAAAAAATTTTTATGAAAACTTCAAATTTACCAGTTGTCAAACTGGTACCCAAAAATATACAAACAAAACTAATAATCGCTTACTTAAAACTTAAATAAATATGCCTAAATAAATTTTAAATAAAAAATAATTAATATTAAGTAAAAATTAATTTTTAAGGTTAATTGTTTTTGAAGGAGTTATACATAACTACATAATTAACTTATTCTATTTAACTATGTATTATTACAAGCAAATATATTTAAATATTCTTTTTTGTCTAATTATCAGGCTCTAATAGATTCGACTTGGAAAATTGAAGGAACTGCAATATGAGGAATTTTGAAGTATGTACTATGTTCACTGTTTTTGAGAGAACAGAATTTAAATTAATTATAAAATTTTGAAAGATTCCTTCCTTTAAGTATTAATTAACTCTTGTTTTGAATTTTAGAAATACCACACTTCCTCTTCATAAAGAAAAAGCAAAAAACCCTTTATTTACTATCAGTTTAATTTAAACATTATGTAATTTGCGATAAATAAGCAAATAAAAAATAAACTTCAAATTCTCATTTCTTTAAAGTAAAATTTCAATAAAGTATCCATATCCGGTATTGGACGTTTACAATATTTCTCCAAAAAAGCCTTGAATGTTGGATTGTTTGCCTTTAAATATTTAAAAAATTAAAAGAGAAACAGGAAGCAATATGAGGAAGCCTTTCTTAAATCCCACAAAATCAGATTTTTTAAATTGTTTCAGGGATGGAGGTAAAAGCTTAATTTGTGTTCTTCCATTTTATTATTCCCAACACTCGGCTCTATTTTCTTTTGGCATTTTTCCAATCAACAAAAGGATTAAATATTTTGAATAAGTACTATGACGCACTGCCTGACCATTTTGATTCTAAAGGATTTCTAAAATGTTTCAGGGATGGTTGTGGTATTATATAGGAGAATTTGGGAAAAATAAAAATGAGGAAAAGTTATTTGAAGAAACGCTTTGAAAATCCAGAAAAATAAAGATAATGTAACCCCACCCCCTAAAAACCCCTATTCTCTAACTACCTTCGCTAAAGGTATTCCAGCAGAATTCAAAGCAGAACATAATTCACTATAGAAATTATCAACTGGCTTCTTTTTGTTTTTCGATGCCAAAAACCAGGGCAACATCTTTATATGTTTAAAAGTTTTAGTGTGTTTCTCCAATTGAGTGATTTTTGAACAAGGAATCTAATTTTATTTAATTTTAGAGAAAATTTTCTTTAAATTTAACAAACATTTTCCGAACAGGCCTGACAAAAAATCTTTTCCCCGTCCGTAGTAAAGACTCCATTTGGGTATTTGGAGACCCATCTTTTACAAATATAGCTTCTCGAAGAAGCTAAATTAGGCAGTTTTCTCTTTGGTTTTTCTTAAATAAAAGCAAGATTTAATAAATTTTAATTTAAGACAAGCCGTTGATTGTAACAACACGGAATGGGCCGAAGATTCTTCTGGAGTTCATTATAAAATCCAGACAAAATTCAGATCCAGTAAACTTCAGATTTAGACAACCTCTAGGCTTAGAGTTTTGATATTTTTAGTGTTTGTTGTATCGAAGGTTGACTTTAATTCTGGACTGGGATCTAGTTCAGAATTCTTTTTACTGATTTATGTAAATCTAAAAATTTAATTAATCGTTTAACAAAAATTAAATAGAAATTAATTTGTGTGAATAACAAATATACTTGATTTAAAAAAATAATTTTTAGTTTATTGCAAATATTGGAAAAATAAAAAATGATAAAGAGAAAAAATAAAGGCAACGAAAAAATGCGAGGAGAAAAAAGAAGAAAAATTGATTATAAGGCGAGAAAATAAATACAAACAGATTCACTATAAAATACCCTTATGTGGCTTAAAAAATCTTATCCTATAATTTTTATTTAAATTTTGGATACTCGTCCGTTATACAACCGTAAACTGAGTGCCAGCTTACTTTGATCGGCTATAACTTTTTAAAGTTTGATCCAACACAAATTAATTTGATATCATTCGAAAGCCATCGATAATCTGTATCTTTACTTTAAAAAAATAGATCAAGTCTGATCATTCATTAAAAAATTATAACCCGATAAATTGAGTTATTTGATGCTTTTTTACATTTATCGGATTCTAACTAAAATTTTTAAAATTTTTCCTTAAGAAGTACTTAAACTTGAGGTATTTTTAAAAGGAGATTTTAAATATTTAATAAATCAGTATTAGAATTAGATAAAGGGCTATGATCCAAATGTTGAACAATTGTTTTAACTTTAAATTCGACTCTTATTTTTTCAAATTCTCTTGAATACGAGAGAAGAAAGGACATGTGTAAAATAGCTAAAGTCCATTCTGCAACCTTTAAAAGATAAAAAAATTTTGAAATTAAAAAATTTAAAAAACCGCTGAGAGGCAATGAAGTCCATAACCCTTAAAAAGATTTTTTTCAATAAATAATAAAAAAACGAAATTTTGAGACAATCTCTTAATAAGTAATCGAAACTATGAAAATTATGAGGGGGTAAAAGTGGGAATAAACCAATTCGAAAATTGTCAGTCATATCCCCAAAACATTCAAATTGTTAAAATTAGTAGTTTAGTTCGATTCTAGTTAGGGTTGGGGCCCGATCCGGCCCGGTCCGAAAGATCGAGTCGGGCAATGATTCTGGCCGAAAGAGACTCGGTCGGGTCGGCCCGATAAAAATGATTCGGACTCGACTCGAAAACCCCAACCTTAATTCTAGTACTAAATGTATATCTGGGCTATTTTTCGGCACTTAAAAATCAATCAAGGTTTTTTGATTTTTCAAACATCGATAAAGCTTCTCGTATGTCTATAATTAACATTCCCGCATCCAAAAAATAAGAAAATCTTTAAGGACTCAAAAATATAAAAATATTCCCTATAAAATCATAGAAATACAAAAAAATACAGGCATAGGCGAGAATTTCCTGTTCCAAGGTCGAGGTGTTGGCAAATCAGGAAAATAATGATGAAAAGTCAAGGAGGCTGCCAAACCAAGGAAAAAGGCTTTAAAAAGTTTTTGATTTTTAAAAATAATTTATTTTTAAAAACCAGTAAAGAAACAAAAAGTCGAAGCTATTGCAATACTTAATCGAATATAAACAATTCTTTTTCCAACAAATTTTGGAAACATTTTAAAACAAATAAAAGATTGTAATAACATATAAATACATCCACTTCCAAAACTAAGCAGAGCTCCTTTTGTAAAAATTAAAAGATTATAGGGGAAAAATATTAGGGGAAAATTTTTCAAAAAATTTGGGTAAATGAAGTTTTAGGCCCCCCATTTTTTGTTTCCAAGTAATAAAAGGTCAGCAAATAAATGATTTCTTTCAAGAATCACCTTCTTCATTAAGTGATTTGGGGGATTAAAAGGCCACCGCATCCTTTAAGTAAGTAGGTCTGACCATTATGTACATATTAAGGAAAATAGTTGAGGGAGAAAAAATTGGGCTCTGAACGCGGTTTAGCCATAAATTTTATACATTTTTAAAAAATGTTAAAAATAAGGCCCGAACTAAGGGAAATCGAGAGTTTCACAACTTCATTCAAAAAATCGAGAAAAAGGGAAAGAAGAAATGAAATCTTTTAGGGATCTTTTGTTGTAGGCAAAATCTTCTCATTTTATCTAAAAAACTTCTTAAAATTATAGTAATTAACAAGCCAAGAATGTCACCTATTGTATTATTTACTTTAAGGTCTGAGGAGATTAATTTTAAATAAGAATTGTTTGGATATAAATATTGTTTAAAAATTAATTTTTTATACCAGTCAAATGTATCTGTATAACAGCAGTTTCTTGGAAATTAGCAACTATAAACATTCCAACACCCCCGAGAAGACCAGCAAAAAGTGAAAGGCGATTTGTTAAAGAAATAAGAGGATCTACTTCTTGATCTGAATTTTGAGAAAGTAATTCGGCGACCAAATGGTATCTGAAACAATGGAAATTTCGAGAAAAAATCCGGAAAAGGTTGAAAGGTTGGATAAAGATTCCAAAAGTCAATGACTAGAATCTGGGGCCGTAGGATTCAGTGTGAATTGAGTTCCAAAATTAGAACTCTTCAAATTATAATTTAAAGATTTCTTGGTTAAAGTTTGAATAAATCTCCTCCCAAAACTTAATATAGTAGGTATTTTTAAATTTCGGGAAAACAATAAAATCCCTGATTTATTTTTAACTAAAAAATTCAGCAAAAACCTGAGGATAACAATCAAAGCAATAAAGAAAGCACAAACATTCAAAAACATAGAAAATATACAAGATTCAGGCCTAGAATCACCAGAAGCCGAAATATAGGGGAAAACGGGGTCAACATCTCCTCTCCAAACAGAAAAAGAATATGTGATGACTTGAAGGAAATTTTTTAATTTTTTTTAAATAAATTTTTTAAAAAAAGACCTAACATAGCAACAAAATTAATTGAAAATAAAACAGGCAAATGGCCAGCTCCGATACTTAAATAATTTTTCAGAATTTTTTAAAATAATTTATTTACCGTCCCATTTGAAGTAAATACCTTTCCAACATTTTTAAAATTAAAACTGATTAATTAAAGCAGAGGTCGTTTAATATCTTTAAAAGTCTCTCGTTCTCGAAAAATCTCAATTTTCGACTAAAATATAATCAAGCGGGGACACGCCCAAGTAGGCGCCGGCCAAGTAGGCACAAAGCTATAACTAGCTGGAAAATTTCTGTCCCTTATTAATTTTGGTACCAATCTCTTTAGCTCGATGAGAGGAATCGTTTGGTACTAAATTTGTTAAGATTTGCCAATCTTGAAGCAAGTTATGGCTTTACGCCTACTTGGCTATCAAACATCAATAGGTGCCCATCGATAGCCATTTAGTGCACGTAACGCCAACCACACAAATTTTAATATTGTTTTATCTTTTTATTTTTTGTTAAAGTTTGTCCAAATCTAATTATGTATCGACGTCAAATGTTCTTTATATCTTGCAAATAGCTAAAGTCCAAAATTTTACATTCGGATATAAAATACTGTTCCAGGACTGTGCGAAATTTCGTCCGATAATTATCGACGTTTAAATTTTTTAGCAATAAACAGTTACAAAATACGTAATCAACTTTATAAAATAAATAAATTATAAAAATAGAATTCCATTTATACTAACAAAGGATAGCCTTAACCCAATAAATTTATTTATTTAAATTAATTAATTAGACGTAGAGCAATTCTTAATTTCATTTTCATCATTCTACTCAAGTTTCTAAGCTCAAAATTTAATTTTCCGTTTTCTTTGATGAGAACAGCGCCTTCTTCAGCCAAAAGAGGTGAACACATTTTGAATCGTGGGAGCAAATAATTTCCTTTTTCTAAAAAAAAATTTTTTTCTGAGAATTTCAATTTTTCTCTGGAGAGGTGAATTAATCGTTAGGATCTTCTTACCATCTTCAACAATAATTTCAAAATTTCGGTTGGCAAAATATTCAAAAATTAAAGTCTGTCCTTTCTTTGCTTCCAAAATTTGTAAATAACTATCTCCAGCAGTTATCAAACAATTTTCATAATCTACAGTTTTTTGGTCTATTCCATATTTTTCCCATATTGCTCCATCTTTCTTTAAAAAATTATCAAATTATATCAAATATCCTCTCAAAGTTATCTCAGAATATGTCAGAACATGCTTAGTTTCTCTTACATGAAATCAATCTTTCTCCCGAATGCATTCATTCTCACATATAAAGTAGAGTTGGGCGAGATGGAGTCCCGGTCGGGATCGGGGGGATATCCCGGTTTTTTACATCCCGATCCCGGTTTTTCTGATCCCGCGACCGAAAGACAAATCCCAATCCCGATTTCGGCCAATCCCGATCCCGAGTAGGCTATGGAGGAAATGCATTCGGGAGAAAGGATATTTGATATAATTGATAATCCCGATCCCGAGTCGGGATAAATTTTCGGGGGTTTCTTCTCACAATTTTCTAAAACTTTTCCTTTTCAAAACAACTCAACTCCATCCCTTACATTAATTAAAACAAATTTACTCTAAAATCGTCATTCCCCAATTCTTTTTGTATATTACACCCAGTTTCAGGCACTTCAGCATCCTTAATAATTTTTAAACCTCCATAGCCTACAGGAATAGAATCATTAGATATCCATTTGGGTATATCAGAATGCTGGACAGCTATATGGATTCTGTTAATTACTTTGGCTGGCAAAATTAATGAAATTATCTTTTTAAAAATTAAAATCAGTTTTAATTAATTAAAAGTAAAAAACCTTCATTAAAACATTCAAAACCCTTGGAGGGTTAACGATAACAATATTTTTAACAACCTCAGAATAATAAGACATTAATACATTGACTCGAGCCTAAAAATATTTTAAATTAAATACTACTTATTTTTTAATATTATCTTGGAAAATGCCCGGAGATGTCTTAATAAATGAGTTGACTTTATCTCAATTTGATACGATGCTATAGGCAAGGATTTCCGGTGTCTATTTAAATAAATAGTGTTTCTAAAATATTTCTTTATTTTTGAATTTCCTTTGAAAATTTTCTTGAGATTATAAAACCCATACATAATTTCGACATAATATTTCCCCGCCCGAAATTCAGAAAAATTGTAAACCCTGTATGCCGCAAACATGACCGCTCGGGGTGCAACCTACTTAAAAGTAGGGTTGTTCCCCGACGGGGGAGGGGGAGGGCCACGGGGAAAATTTTCGGGGAGGCAGCGCCACGAGGGGGGGGGGGTTGGCCTACTTAAAAGGCCAAATACACTGTGAAATAAACCCTCTCGATTGAAGTATAGCCCCACGCTTTAACAAAGTTCCCTTTTGTGATATTGATGAAACTTAGGGCTCCCCAAAGGCTGTATTTCAGTTATAGTAGGTTTAGTTCAGAGGCAAAATCTATGTAAAATATTACCTCAAATATTCGATTAATCGGTGCCATTGGATTAACATATTGAAGTATTGACATATTCTAAATTAATTATAAATTAAAATTTATTTTTTAAAAAATTCTGTTTACTTGCATATCAAAAATAGCCACTCCAAAAGATCTTTTCCCACACTTTTGTTCATATTCTAATAATATTTTTAGAAAATATTCACAAGCACGGAAAAAGCATTGTAAAAATTCTCCTGCTCTGATTGATTTTGATGACTAATAAATATTTAAAAGATTTTATTTTTGACTAAAATATCTTTGTTGTTCCACTCTTTACTTCAAATATTTTCTCTCGTATACCGAAACCCTAACTCATTCCCTCTCTGTCTCTGAAATATCACAATAATCTAAGATATCTTAGTTATCCCAGCTAGAGTTGAGCGGGATCGGGATCACGACCTAAAATCGGAATCGGTGTTTGAAATAATGACTCCGATCCCGGTCCCATCTATCGGATGTGACGAAATCGGGATTCAAAAAAATCGGGACAGTGGATCCCGATCCCGCTCAACCCTAATCCCAGCTTGTCACAACCCTCACATTGAATACTTTCAACATATCTCAGACATCTCGCATTTCTATTTACCTCTATACTATATCAAATCTCTTAGTTATGATACACTTTTCAAAGGTGAATTAAGTTAAAGAAATTTATTTTTTAAATTAAAACTTTCCAACTTTTATCGAATCTTTTGTGCCCATTTCCACAAAAACAATTCCATTATCGAAAGAATTAACCCAATCGGATGTTGGTTTGCTCTGAGCAAAAATATTATAATAATTTATCATATCAGACTTCAAATAAAAATCGTCATAGGCTTCAGGTCCTTTCAATTAAATTATTCTTCGACCAAAAAATTAATTTTTACTTACTATCCAAGTTTAGAGATTTTTTGTTTTTAAAATATTCAAAGTAAGCTTCTGCTGCACGTTGAGGGTTCTAAATTAAATTGAGAATTTTAGTTTATTTGGTTTATGATTAATTTTCTCCAACTGATTACAGTTATAATTCGTTTCCAAAGTAAGTGAGGCAAAAGACATGTATTGTTACTACCCGATGGCTGTACTATATCCATAGTAAATAGTTCCGGAGGATTTGGAATACAGAAATCGTTATAATGTTAAGTCACATTCAGAGATTTTCTCACTAAAATACCCATTTTATGGGCACATTCGAAAATATTTGTATAGGTTTACGAAACATTTTCCCCGCTAAAACAGAACGATTCGAGGCATTTCCACATTTTCAACGGTCTTCGGTTGACGAAACCATTAGTTCCGGAGGATTTGAAACACAGTAAAATTGAATTAAATTTCATCACTATATCAGACATTGCGTGGGGTTATTAAAGTAACTACACAACTACCGTATTAGGTTTTAAATTGAGAAGCTGGCCACTCTATTTTTCAATTCATCCTCAAAAGGACGAACTGAATCCACTAATTTAATATCAGGCATTGCGTGGGGTTTATCATTTACCTCATCATAAGCCTCCAACCATCTATCAAGGTTAAAATCAGTCCTTTCAGGCTCTGATATTTTTTCACCTAATAATTCTAAAAGTTGATGACGTTGTTCTGTTCGAGACATTGAAAATATAAATATTTTAAAAGAAAAATTTCTTTACTGAAAGAAATCTTACAAATAGCAAAAATAAAAGTAAAAATGAATTAAATAAAAAGATAAAACCGGTTTTTCTTGAATAAAATTTTCTTAGCAAAAATGAGGATGTAATTTACATTAACTGATCAAAAAATCATTAATCGCTTGAATTGTTTCTATTTTATAATTTTTAATGGATTTTATATTTTCTTTTCTTCTTTATACGCTTCTTCTCCATTCAATTCCTTATTTTATTGAAAACACTGTGACCTATTTTTTGACGAAAAGCTGTCACCATCCTTGAAAAGAGGGATATTTAGGCGCAGTAGAAGTCCGGCGCGGTTGATTATTAGCTAGGGATGTGAAATTTTGTTAAGTATTGTTCATATTGTTATCTAACTTCTCTTAAAATTTCAAAATTTTCGGTTTTATATTTCGAACGTTAAGACCAAAATGTGATCGAAAATAGGCATTTTCAGAAGAAAATTGGGGAGGAAAGTCAATTTAATTTTACCAAATCTTTCTGAAAAGAATTCTGAAATTATTAAAGAGATCAGCTAAAATACTTGAAGAATATTTGAGCAAAATTTAAAGATATATTGGCGCCCGAAAGTACCTTTTATTTCTGCATGAATGAAGTAATGAGAGAAATATTGTCATCCAAACAAGAGTTTAGAAGAAACATTGAATGTTCATCAAAAGAAAGGATCTTTCATCTTTTAATAAATATACCCATCATTTGAATGTCTTCTTTGATCTTGTAGAAGATTTTCTTTTCTTCAAGTTTTTATTTAATTAACAGAAAAGGAAAAAATGTTTTTTTCGGAATTAAAAAAGCTTTTTAGGAATAAAGAATTAAAAAAAATTATTAAAGGAAATTAGAGTGCTGGTTGATTAGTATGAGATTTCGGTAGTTAGTAATAGTGTGGGCAGTGAGTGATTAGTCCGTAAACGTTTTTAAAAAGAATTTTTCACACACAAACAATTGGAGTAACAATAAATAATAATTACATATGTATGAATGATTTGGACATTAAGAAAGATTAGGAGGATCTGGAGTGGGGGTGGGGGATATGGAGAGATTACGGAGGATTAAGAAGAATCTTCGTCTTATTTATCTATATCTCATCCATATTCATTTTGAATATGGATCAGATACCCTTCAATAACTTGAATACCATTACAGTTATCGCCTTTCTTATATAATATCCCTTCGGATCCATCGATATGATCCTTGATTGAATTATAGACCAATTAATTTTTAATCCGTCATGTCACGCTAACTAGAAATAGATAAAAAACACTGTCCCCATTTGAACCAAAGTCTTTGATATAACAGCCCAAAACGGAAGGGTCGATGTCCTACTCATTATTTTAAATTTAGCTATTTTCATAAGTTTTTCTTTCTTTTTTTTTTAAAAGGTCAAAAATTAAAAAAATAAATTTTATTTAAAAGTACAGCACAAAAAAACGACATGCCACGCTACCTCTTAGCAGAGTTGCGTAGTAATTACGAATTACGGCGGTTTTTAAGTTACGAATTACAATTACGAAAATATCGGAAAAAATTATGAATTACGAAAATAATAAATAAAAATTACGAAAAAATATTCTCGAAGAAAAAAAGCTCTCGTATTTTGTCATTTAATTTTCATAGTAAAATGGAAGGTAATATATATACTACATATAAATATTCTCCCATTTTATTTTATGTTGACCGGTGGTTGACTTGTTTAGAAGTCAATCTTCACTCACTTTGATATTCTGTGGGGCCAAAATCCTCAAAATTTTCGCTTATTGACCTCTGGAGGATATAATAGGATATGGCCGGATATCGAGGATATCATGGGAATTGAACGGATATCAAAGGATTTATCCTTTGAAATTTTCAGAAAGTTTCGCCTGTACGATGAAGAGGGGGAATTCGATATTTAATATAAATTTTTTTGAGTTGCGAATTACGATTACGGAAAAAATTTTCAATTACGACGCAACCCTGCCTCATAGGTAGCTGTTTCGAAATTTAGATTTTCGAGGATTTTTTTGAAAACGAAACATCTCTGCTCACGAGACTTATAAATTTTAAAGGTGAAAAGGGCAGTTTTCCGTATTATTTATAAAATGCAGTTTGCCTTACATTTTCCTCATTATTAATTTTGCCCGACATTCCTTTATAATTTTTTGCTTGATTATTTTTAAATAAATTTATTTTTAAAAAAATGAATTTAAAAATAAATATTTATTTATTTTTAATATTATCTATTAATTTAATTAATTCAAATAATATTTTAAATAACCAAAATATTTTTGTTAAATATAAAAAAGAAAATGAGAAACAAATTAAAATTAATTTAATAAATATTGAATTTATTAAAGACAACGAACAAGAAGTATGTTTTAATTTTTAATGACTTCAAAGTTATCAATATTTGAAAAATATTTGATAAAAGCTTTGGAATTAGTTGACAAAATATTTTATTTGTTTGACCTCCATTCTAAGCTAGATATTGGAAGGATTGAGAAATAACTTGGATTTTGGTATTTTTTTGGTCCCATCAATCTGACTAAACTAGGGGTGCCGAGTGCCGACTTGTTAGGACGGTTTCTAGTTCTAATTGTAAGCTCTGGTTTAGTGTTTAAAGATCAGTGAAAATTTGTCTAGTTTATGTATCCAACCCATTTATTCACGAGCTCAAAAGGGTCAAAGTAAACCATACGGTGGGCGAGACGCTTGTCCAAAGCCCCACGTTTCATTCGGGATTTTGCGGCACGCATCTCGCGCGAGTCAAGCGAGAACCTAAGAACAAAAATCTATTGTTAGTTTGCGAGTAAATTGGGTGATTAGCGAATAAATGGGGGGTGGATACCCAAAGTAGATAATTTTCGCTTGTGATACTCTTGGTAGGCTTTCGTCTAAATATTCAGAACCCAATGTAGCTTGTCTAAACATTATACATATGTACAGGGTGACTCAAAAGTCTTTGCCCGCACATTTTTCATTATAACTTTATTAAAACTTAATCAAATAATATAAAAATACAATCAAATAATAGAGAACTAAATGGAGAACAAAATGTATCAAGATTTTTCGAAATACCTCTCTTTGGGTTTAAGATAGAGGCGCAAACGCAAACAAAAATTTTTGCAAAATTGCCGCACCTCCTCGGTTCTTCTTTTCAGATGTCAAAATTTTTATGAAAGAGACATGTGCGAATCGCAAAAATGACTGATATTGGGCCTCAAAATCTCCTCTTTCTTATCCAGTTGTTAAGGGTTTCCAAAACCCTTCCCTTGAAATGTTATGGACTGTTATTTGCAAAACGATCAAAATTCCTTGATTTCTATGAATCCATGGGTCAAAATAAATAAATACTTTGATCTACTCGAAATCCTTCAGTATGTTTTAGAGCACTGGGTCTGGGAAAACTTTTAGTAAAGGGACTGGATCTATAAGTAGAATTCATCCCCTGATTATAAGGCTAAAGTGATGCAAGGTTGTGATGTTACCAATTTTCTCTGTTTTAGTGTGCCTCAAAAATGGCTACCGTACACACCGGGTTTGAATCCTTGGATTTGTCTTTTTGGTCAATTTTGGAGGCAACGTTCTTTGCTTAATAACCCCAAAGTTTGGAGTCACTCCGACAATCACTCGTTCAGAAATGGGAAAAAATTACACCATAATAGGTGCGGCAATTTTGCAAAAATTTTTGTTTGCGTTTGCGCCTCTATCTTAAACCCAAAGAGAGGTATTTCGAAAAATCCTGATACAATTTTTTCTCCATTTAATTCTCTATTATTTGATTGTATTTTTATATTATTTGATTAAGTTTAAATAAAGTTATGTCGAAAAATGTGCGGGCAAAGACTTTTGAGTCACCCTGTATAATCCAAATATTTAATTTTTAAGGAAATTTTAACAGAAGAGAATATTTTGTTTAATTTTAATAAGGACTTTTCATTAAAAATTGAATTTGAAATTAATGGGAAATTAAATGATGAAGATAAACTTTATCTAAAACATTCAACAATACCTGCTTTTAGATATAAAGAAGATTCATTTAGTTTATGTAAGAAGGGAATATTAGATAATGACAAAATTTATACACAAAACGATATTCAAATAATTGAAGATAAAAAAATAATTTATTTGGATGAAAAGGTTGATGATGAATATAAATTTGGATTGGATATTTGTTTGCAAAATGGAACAGAAAAAGAAGTAAAAAAGTCAAGTCTTTCTGTTGGTAGCCAGACATAACAGCAAGTCGATTCACAACAAGGGGACTTTAAATTAGCATCTTTTTTAGAGAAACCGCACTGGCAGAGGCCTAGCGAATATAGAATAAAAGCTTTAATTAGGGTTAGAAGTAAAAAGTCATAAAAACACCGTTCTACCGCATAGTGTTGCGTACTTTTCGAGTCTTTAGAGCCTATTAAGCCTATTTCGGCCTTTTTGGACTAAAATCCGGAAGCAGGCCAAGCTACCCAGAACTATAACTTCATTCAAAAGTGTCGAATCCGGGACGCCTTAGTAGGGTTCGATTCAGTTCGTCTAGGGATTTGATAACTTTGAACGAAGTTATAGCTCTGCGGTACTTTGGGCTGCAAGTACAGTCAGAATAAAAACTTTTTCATCTCTTAAAAAATAATTTTTAAGGCACTTGTTAGAATTAAACCTATTTTTAATGGCTTAATTGGAATGAATATAAGAGATGAAAATGGAAATTATTTAAATTCAAATAACATTAACAACCACATTAATTTTCATGACTTTCTAATTACAGAAGGCATTGTTAAAGTAAATGGAATAGATGTAAAATTTGAAGAAACTATTATAGAAAATTCTATTAAATTAACAAAATTTTATTTATTTTTAAATTCAAATTCGAAAAACGACAAAATGAGCAAAAATATTTTTAAAAATTTAAAATTAAACGAAATTAATGGAAAAGAACCAAAAAATCCTTTTTTGGAAATTTGCTTCAAATTTAACGAAATTGGAAAATATTTTGTTTA